GAGGGTCTGATTTTTTTGAGTTCTTTATACATTCTAGATATTAGTCCTTTGAGGAAAGCAGGTAAAATTTTTTTTCCCATTCTGTGGTTTGCCTCTTCACTCTGTTTTTGGTTTCTTCTGCTGTGCAAAAGCTTTTTAGTAAAGTGTGATCCCAGTGTTTTTTTATTTTTATTTATTTATTTATTTGTTGTCTTTTTGAGACAGGGTCTTGCTATGCAGTTCAGGCTGGCCCTGAACTCACTGTGTAGCCCAGGCTGGCCTTGAACTCACAGCGATCCTCCGGCCTCAGCCTTCCGAGTCCTGGAATTACTGGAGTGTGCCACCATGTGTGGTTCTGCATAGTGAGTTAGTGAGTTTAAGGCCGGCCTGAACTGCATAGCGAGACCCTGCCGCCCCAACAAAAACAAATAAACAAACAAAAAGAACCTACTGAACAGGAGTGGTGACAGTGGGCATCCTTGACTTGTTCCTGATTTTAGAGTGATAGTTTTCAGTTTTTAACCACTTAGTATGATGTTGGCTGTTGGTTTGTCATAGATGGCTTTTATCAGATTGAGGTAAAGACCATCTATTCCAATTTTCTGTGGGATTTTCATCATGAATGGGTACTGGACTTTGTGATGCTTTTTCTGCATCTGTGGAGATGATCACGTGGTGTTTGTCTTTGGCTCTGTTGACATGGTGTATTACATTTATTGATTTGCATATGTTGAGCCTTACCTGCATCCCAGAATGAGTCCTTCTTGGTCATGGTGTATAATCTTCTTGATAATTTGCTGCGTTCTGTTTGGGAGTATCTTATTGAGGATTTTTGCATCTAGATTCATTAGAGAGATTGGCCTGTACTGTTGAAACTGTCTAGTTTCATCCTTAATTTCATCTGTGATCTGTCCGTAATTCAAGAGGGTGTTAGGTAACTATTGTGTTTACATGGCTTTTGTGGTTTCTTTTGCCATTGATTTCCAGTTTCTTTGCACTATGGTCTGATAATATGCATGGGATAATTTCAATTCCTTTGCATTTACTTAAGCATGTCCTGCAAGCTAGTATAATGTGTGGTCTGTTTTAGAGGATGTCCTGTGTGCAGCTGAGGAGAATGTGTTGCTGTGGGGTGGAACACTCTGTAGATATATACTAAGTCCGTTTGTTCAAAGATTTGGTTCCACGCTGATATTTCTTTGTTGTTTTTTATCTAGTTGATCTATTTGTGACAGTGGAGTATTGATGTCCCCGTTACAGTCGTATTAGTGCTTATTTGCTTTTTCATGTCCATTAATGTTTGTTTTGTATAGTTGAGTGAACTGGTATTTGGTGCATATATGGTTGTTACCTCTTCCTCTTGGGTTCTTCCCTTTATGAGGATGTGTAGTGACCTTTGTCTCTCTCAATCAGTCTTCGCTTGAAATTCACTTTGTCTGCAAATAGAACAGCTACCAGGGTACGTTTTCAGGTTCCTGTGGCATGGAGTACTATTTTTCCATTTTTTGACTTTCAGTCTATGCATTTTAATTTTTCCTTGTTTGCAGCATATTGTTGGATCTTATTTCTTTTTTTCTTTCTTTCTTTCTTTTTCTTGGGGGTGGGTTCTCGCTGGGCAGTTCAGTTTGGCCTTGAGTTCACTTTGTAGCCCAGGCTGGTCTCAAACTTGCAACAATCTTCCTGCCTCAGCCTCCTAACTGCTGGGATTGCAGGCGGGCACCACCACGCCCAGCCTTGGATCTTATTTCTTGATCCCTTCTGCCAGTCTCTTTCTTTTGATTGGTGAATCCAGACCATTTACGTTGATAGTTATAACTAGTATGCTTTGTTTGTTTGTTTATTTCATTCCTTGAGACTGAGTCTCACTGTGCTGTCCAGACTGACCTTGAACTCACTATGTAGCCCAGACTGGCCTTGAACTTACCTCAATCCTCTGATCCTCTGCCTCAACCTCCCAAGTGTTGGGATTATAGGTGTGCGCCATCATGCCCAGCTTGACTGATACATACTAATTTACCCTTGTCATGTTATTTTCCTGTTGTTGGTTCCCTTTCCTTTCTGATTAGTTGCTTGCTGTGCCTGGTGGATTCATTCTGTAGAATCTTGGAAGTGTTGTCTTTTTCTAGAATTTCCTTCAGAACTTTTTAGAGTGCTGGTTTGGTGGTCGTGAACTTCTTCAGGTGTACTTTATCATGGAAGTGTCTGATTTCCCCCTCAATTTTGGAAGATAATTTTGTGGGGTACATTAGTATGACTTGTTTTCTTTTAGGGCTTGAAGTATTAAGCTCTCCTTGACTTAATGTTTTGTGTTGAGAAGTCTGCTGTGATTCTGATGGGCTTTTTTTTATAGGTAATTTGTGGTTTTCTCTAATAGCTTTTAATATTCTGTTCTTCTATTGAAGTTCTAGACTCTTGACTACAGTATGCCTTGGTGTAGTTTTTATCTGATCATGGCTAATTGGAGTGAGTATGCCTCACTTGTCTTCAAATTCTTTTTCCATGCTTGAGAAGTTTTCTGCCATTACTTTTTTTTTCCTGCCATTACTTCTGTGAACAGGCTTTTTATGTCCTTTGTGCTTTCTTGTAATTTTTCACTGGTTCTGATCAATCCTTCACTATTTGCATCGTCTAGCCCTGATGGAGTGATTTTTGTGGTCCCTTGCTATTTTTAAGAAGTGTTTCATGTGATGGTCACTAACTGCAAACCTGTCCTCTGGATTTGATATTCTGTCCTCACATTCGTTAATCTCCTGGATCTCTGTTTGAATCTGTTTCATGGAATCCAGTTCTTTCCTATGTTGGACATTCATGGTTTCCATCACTTGCCTGAGCTCCTCTATTTTTTTCCATCACTTGCCTGAGCTCCTCTGTGTCTACTCTGGATTCACTAACCATGTCTTTCACTATGGTCATCATCTCTTTAGTTATCTATGAAATTCTTACTTTTTTTTTCTGGAGACTCATTCATCTGCTTTGTTACCCCTGCTGCTACTATTTTAGAAAGTTTAGCTGGGTGGATTTTCCTTTCTTCTATCTCAGTGACCCCCTAGATTTGCCTTGGGTGAGCTGAAGGTCTGGGTTTGCATCTTGCTTTCATGTTTTCTCATTTTCTATTTTTTAAAATTTGTTTTCTGGATTGATGGTTGTTAGTTGCTTATAGTAGGTAGCTTTATTACTAGTATCAACACCTCCTTAGCAACTGACTACTTTTCAGAGCTGTCTTCTAGGTGCAGCTGGCTTTTGGCTTTTGAATCTGTCCCAAGATCCTGCCTTTTCAATTTTTTAGGGATGAGAAGTTGCTGCCTATTTGGCCTAGCATTCATTTCTTCCATAGTGTACTACGGTATGGTTTATGACTCCCCAGACAATTGGCGTACAAGGAGGTATAACTGATTATAACAACTATGTCACTTTGGCTAAAGTACTACAATCAGTAATTACAATAGCATCAAGCATAGTCTAGAAAGCGACAAACTGTGTTAGCTGTTAATTTGCCACCTTTAACCATCAGTACAAAATTTATAGTAGATAACAAAATCTAAAAGAAATCAGAAAATTATATGCAGTAAATATCCCCTCAATAGAGTGAGTTTACCCTTAGGGGAGAAAATCTGAAAAAGATAGGAGAAAAAAATAGATAACAGAAGAGAAAGCGATTAGAAGCATAGCTGAGGGACAAAGGAAGATTAACCAAGCTTTGGAAAACTGGTAAAGAAGGAGGAAAAGAAAGAAAAAACAAAAATAAAAACTAAGCAAAACAGAAAAGCTAAAAAACAATGTTTATCCATGGAAAAACAAGCAAAAAATCAAGAATAAAGAAAAAAAGGTAAAGATAAGAGATTTTTCTATGACTTCAAGCCTGTGCTATCTTCTGGGACCTACAGTTTTATGGTAGTGCAATCCTGCCACTCTGCCTCCCAGTTAGAATTATAGGTATGCACCACCACATCTGGCTACTTCTTTTTTCTTTTCTGTTGTTTGTTTGTTGTTGTTGTTGTTTTTGAGATATGGTATTTCATGTTGCTTAGGTTGGTCTTGAACTCGTAGACTCAGACTGTCCTCCTGACTCAGCCTCCTGAGTGGCTGGGGCTACAGGTGCCACTGCACCCAGCTCTATTATTTATTTATTTTATTATTTCTTGCTACTTATTGTGTCATTTTTAAAGTACTTACTGTTATGCCTACAGCTCTGCTCTCACATTAAGTAGGTAGGCTTTCTCTGTCCCTTATGCCAAAGTCTGGATTTTACTGCTGCAAATTAAACATCCCATTACAGTTGGGTACTTCAGTCTGCCATAGGAAGAGCTCTGAGAGTCAAGCGTATTGTCATACCTGAAGACAGACAGACAGGTCTGAGAAGGTAGGAGTGTTCTCCTGCATGCGTGTGGCCCGTGGGACAGGAGGCCTGTGTGCTGGGGAGGCCAAGTAGCCTCTCCCTTCTGCCCGCCTGCACGGATGCTGGAAAGGATGTAAGGGAAGTAAGGTTTGAAATGCCAGGATGCCGAATGATCTGGTAAAGATGTAGTGCCAAAAAAGCTGAAAAAAAGAACTATACCTCAAAGATTCTAGATTAGGAAGATTGAGTAGCCTGTGTAAGCAGGAAGTCTCTGAGCCCTGTGATGGTAAAAGTATCGTCTGAGTGGGCTGCAGTGAACGCATGAGGAAGTTGGACTTCAGACATCTCCTTGGAGAGCAGTGCACCTCCACTCCCCAGGATACTTGCATCTTGGTAGTGGCTTAATCGTGCCAAAGAAAACCATGACAGAGCTTTTGATTGTCTTCTTGGGTCAGCCTTGTGTTACTTGCAAAAATACCTTTGCTCTTTTCAGTGGTTTCTCATCCTGCTGTGTGTAGACTAAAGATTATGTATAGGATGAGTAAAGAGTATGACATTCGTTATTTTCACTTCTAGTTCTCATGTGAGGATTTCTGTTCTAACTATGCAGCTTGTAAACCCCTTACCTGTAGATATGTGTGGCTTATGAACCTACTTACACGGCGTTTTTCTCTTTCTTTCCTAGGTACCTCGTATTTAACAGACATTGTATGGTGGGCTGGCACCATTGCAAGTAAGTGTGTGGCACTGGTCTGGTCCGCTGTCCGTGGGGCTGGGCTGCGGAGCAGGGTGAGCGTGGTGCTGACGCTTGGAGGGGGTGCCCCTGCCTCCCCCCAGGCCCTGCACGCTGCACCGTCCTCTACTTTCCCGGGTGCTTCCTCCTGTAGGGGAGAGGAGAAGGGCAGGCAGTGACCTCCAGGGAGGAACACAGTGGCTCCTGCTGCTCACAGCTGGTCCAGAATTGAGCCCAGGTTACTGCCCTGGCCGGAACACCCCAGAACAGTCCCACGTGCTCCTGTGTAGCCTTCGGGTGGTCCCTGTGAAATTCCCTGGGTCAGATGCCTCGTTTCACTCAGCACCATCTGTTTAACAAAGGAGAGTTCTTGCATAAACTCAAATACAAGATCAGAGGTCTCGGGGTATAACGTAAAAACAAGTAATAACGTCAGTGCTCAGGACTGCAATAAATGCATCAGTCACAGTTTTATTAGAAATTTCAGAAATGTCGTGGCTTATTTGTCATGTCATGTTGGTCAGGCGGGACTTACCTCGCTGAGGCCGAGCTGTTCCCCGAGGTGGTCCTGGCGGGGTCCCTGGATGTCCGTGCAGGTGGCATGTTTCACTCGCAGCCTCGCAGCCTGGTGCTGGGTCTGCCGCCTGCGCCTGAGGAGGGCCTGGGTACTTGAAGGCACATAGGGAGCTCTGCCCCGCTTGGGGACAGGTTGGTCGCTGGGTGCAGACGTGCAGTTAGGAGCGAAGAAGTTTGCCTGTGTGCTGTCGCACAGTCGGGGGACCTTTTAGGGAGTGTGCCTGAGCTGCAACCCAAACCCACTTAGTTATCACCAGGGGCCAACGCTGCGGTTAAACCTCAACGCTGAGCTTTTAGTTTAGAGAAAACAACTCATACGTGAACATCTTTTGTCTTAAAAGAAAAGCAAATAACGTGGGTGCCATAGGTTCGCCACACTGCTGTAGGTGATGATCCTATATTAGATACTTCAGAAAGCCAGAAGAAAGGACATGTGTCTAGTGGGTAGACATTTTACCTGGTTCAACATTACTCAGTGGCTAAGACAGCTCATGGTACCCCTTAAACATGTAAAACTGTATGTGCATTTCAGTTAAGAAAAAACAAAGAGTACTGTAAAGAGCTGAGCCCGGGGGCACACGCCTGTAATCCTGGCGATTCACGAGGCTGAGCAGAAGGACTGCAAGTTCAAGGTCAGCCTGGGCAGTCTGTGAGACTTCCTATCAAAATTTTCAAGAAAGGTGTCAAAAATTAAATTTAGTTAAAAAAGCACCAAACAGCCAATGATGTATTAAGAGTGCAGGACACTCAGTGCCGTCCTCACCCCCAGTCCCTGCTGGTGACAGGAGGTCTCCGCTGCACCCGTGCCCGACTGGCCCAGTGAAGCCTAGGGGTTTGCTTCCGCCACCACGATCCGTGAGCGTGCAGTGGTGCCCAGGCAGCTTGCTCGAGGGAGCAGGAGGGGCCCCTCGAGAGTGGCCCTGGCCGAGGTTGGAGCTGTCGTCGCAGTGCTGTCCCTGTGCTTCTCTTCACAGTGGCAGTTGGTCAGATCGGAAACTTCCTGGCTTACACGGCAGTTCCCACGGTCCTCGTGACGCCCCTGGGTGCCCTTGGAGTGCCATTCGGGTGAGAGCCAAGATTCCATGTCTTGCTATTTGATGTATAGTTTAGATACAAAATATTTTTCATTTTGAATGTCTCTGTTAAAAAAATAAAATTGTACGTAAAGTCTTTAGAATTCTATATCATTTAACTGTAACTGTTCTCTCAGAATTTACTTCAGTGCATTCCAGCGTGTGTGTGTGTGTGTGTGTGTGTGTGTGTGCGCGCGCGTGCGCTCATGGTGCTGGAGATCAAACCCAGGGTCTCATGCATGCTAGGCAAGTGCTATACCGCTAGGCAAGTGCTGTACCATCCGCAGCTCCTCAGATCTACCCTACCCGTGCTGCTCAGTGACTCGGACGCTGTCTCTTCCCTGGGCTTTGCCCTGGATGGCTTCTTAGAAATTAGAGTCTTCCTCATACCTTGGCAAGTTATTCTTTTTTTTTTTTCCTGAGACAGAATCTTACTCTGTAGTTCAGTCTGGCCTTGAACTCACAGCAATCCTTCTGCCTCAGCCTTCCAAATGCTGGGATTATAGGCATGTGTTACCACACTTGGCTAACCTTGGAAAGTTATTCTGAGAAACCATGAAGCAAAACATATCAATTGAGCCTAGCGTGGTGGCACACGCCTGTAATCCCAGCACTTGTGAGGCTGAAGCGGGAGGATCACCATGAGTTCGAGGCCATCCTGGGCCACAGAGTGAACTCAAGGCCAACCTGCACTGCATGGTGAAACCCTGTCTCAAAAAGACAAAAAGAAAACATATCAGTTGGCGGTTTTCCATTTCTCTTGCTGGACCCTGGACAGTCGCCCCACCTCACTCTAGTCTATTACAGAGGCTGAAACATCCGCCACACTACCACTGGTGGATAGGGAACGGGGTACATGATTTACATGGCCAGCAGCAGAGGGATTCCCCAAGTCCAGAGAGAAACAGGAGGAGCTGGGGTGGGTCTGGACTTTTACAGTAGCTGGGGGTGCTCCGGGTAGAGCTTTTTTTTTTTAACTGGAACTCGAACTCAAGACCTTGCCCTTGCCAGGCGGGCTTGTGGGTAGGGCTTTGCATGCCAGCTGTGCCTCTCGGTGTAAAGTGCCTGTTGGCCCTGCGGGGCTGAGGACCAGGGACTGAGCGTTCAAGCAGCTTTCTCATCAGGTCCGAGGGAAGGGAGGAATGGGGCCTAGAAGCCTGCTGGTCATCAGAAATCACAAGTGGAGCCCCTTCGCTTTCTTTTTTTTCCCCTTTTCATTTTTTTATTACTATTATTTGTGTTTTGTTTTTGGGACAGGGTCTCACTATGTAGTCCAGGTTGGCCTTGAACTCACTGTATACCCCAGACTGGTCTCGAGCTCTGTTGATTTTCCTGCCTCAGCCTCCTGAGTGCTGGGATTACAGGTGTGTATCGCCTAGCCCAACTGGAGCCCCCTTTTATAAACTTTCTATTTTAATCCATTTCCTGGGGATGTAACAAAATGCCTGAGACCAAGTAGCTTTTCAGGGAGAGAGGTTTTACCTTGGCTCTTGGTTCTGGATGCTTGAGGGGCTGAGATCCAGCAGCCCCACCCCACAGGGCCACACGCTGCCTCCATACATGGTGTGGCAGAGAGCGAAGGAGGCGGAACTGGGGAGGCGCCTGTGTAACAGTCCTGTCGCGGTGCTGACCCAGTCCCGGCCAGCTGCTCAGTGCACTTGGGGATCAAGAGAAGAGAGGCTGTGGAGGGGCCCGGGGCTCCTGTGTCGTTTCACGGCAGGTCCGAGTCTGCAGCAGAGGCTGTCCACGGGAGGAGCTGTGGGGCACAGGCAGCCCGCCCCCCTGCAGGCCCCAGTTCCTCCGCTTCCCCCCCTCCTCCCCAGCCCTTCTTCCCCGCTTTCCTCTTTTCTTCTTGTTACTGATGCTGGGGATCAAACCCAGGGCCGTGCACATACTAGGCGAGCAGTCTACCATGGAGCTGCGGCCCCCATTTTTTTCTTCAGTAATCAGGGTGGGAACTGGTAAGCAGTTTGCTGTGAGTATCACTTTAAATGTAGTCACGGCCGCGTTGTGACCGAGTAAGTTAGAGCACGGTGGCCGCCGCGTGTGGGAGCAGAGGCAGCGCAGTGGTCGTGTGCCCGCTGGGGCACCTCGGGGGCCGCGCCTTCCCTCAGCAGCAGAGCGGAGGCTGGCGCGCAGCGCAGGCCACACCGCGGGCAGCTCGTCAGCGCGTCCTCATCACCCGCCCAGGCCGAGGCGGGCGCCACGTCACGCGTCTGATTCCCTGAATAAACCTGCGTCTCTGACGTGCCCCAGAGTAAGGCATGCAGAGGCCCAGAGGGAAAATGTTCAGCCGTTTCCAAGATTTATAGACCGTGTATATAAGAAGAGTCCTTTTGTGTTCACATCTTGAAGAAATAGAGTCTTTTTCAGACTTTGAATAAGAAGTTTCTAAAGTCTGAAGCAATAAAAATGAAAAAGTTAAATTTCCTACAAAAGAATAAGTAGGATGGGAAAAACATTTCCGCCCAGTGTGACAGCGGTGAGAGCTGGCTGCTGCGCGGGTGCCCCGACACCGGGAGAGGACGCCGCACGCCCGCGGGGCTGTTTTGGCGCACGGGTTTGGATGACTTGCCTTGGCCAGCCGGCCACAGGCAGAGACGGGCTGGTGGGAGAGTGTGGTGGAGGAGAGCTGTGAGCCGTGGCAGCCAGGAAGCAGGGGGAGAAGAGAGGGCCAGGCCGGGACGCCGCCTCCCGGGCCTTCCCGGGGGCCACCCGCACCGGGCCCCACCTCCTAACGGTGTCCAGGCCGGACCTCAGCCGTCGGGGTCCACTGCCGAGCTCTTGTCCCTGCCTTCCAGTCACCTTTCTAAACCCCATTTCTGGACACGTGGGACTTGTGGGGTCATTTCAGATCTAAATCATGATGAGTGTGAAGACATTCCTTAAATTCAGCAGAATAATATGAAAATCTCAGTAGACGAAATGGTAAGGGACAAGGACAGACAATTCACACATATGGAAGTACATTTATACCACCAATATTAAGCCTAGTTTTCAATAAAATGTATGTAAGCAATTCAATAAATACCTCTGTATTAAAAATGTTAAAAGAGTAGCTGGGAGCCTGGCATGGTGACCCCTCCTGTAATCCCAGCACTTGGGAGGCTGAGGCACGAAGACCCTTTGAGGTCCAGGCCCCCCTGGGCCCCGTACTGAGTTAAAAGCCAACCGGGACTATATAGTGAAATCCTGTCTGGAAAAAAAAAAAAGAAAAGCAAAGAAACTTGAATGAAACTAATCAGATATCTGCATAGCGAGACCCTGTCTCAAAAAGACAAACAAAGTCGACAGAGTACTTTCTGTGACCATAGTGAAATGAAATTAGAAAGCAAAAATAAGTGAAATCCACAAATATATGCAAGTTAAACAGCTCAATACTAAATGACCAGTGAGTCAAAAAAAAAAAAAAAAAATCCTGGGGGAAGTAAAGTACTTTAAGATGAGCAGAAATGTTGAGGGCCCAGGTTTTAGCTCAGTGGCACAGCATCTGCCTGGTGAGTATGAGGTCCTCAGTTTCATTCTGGGTACCAAAACAAAAACATTTTCCTAAGTACTAAAACTCGACAGGGCTCAACTAAAGCATTAGCCAGAGGGAAATTTTGTTTTGTTTTGTTTTTTTTCCCTGGTACCGAGAATCGAACTCATGACCTTGTGCTTGCCAGGCGGGCACTGTGCCGCTGAGCTAAATCCCCAGCCCTTCCAGAGGGACATTTACATCTGTAAATGCCTACATTTTAAAGAGGAAACAATCTCAAATCAACAATCTAACCTTCCAAACTGAGATGCTGGAAAAAAACAGGCAAACCAAACAGAAGGAAAAAAAATAAAGATTCAAGTATAATATTTATAATAATGAGAATACAAAAGCAATAGAGAAAAGTCAGTGTAATTAAATGTTTGTCCTTTAAAAAGGTTAACAAAATTGATAAACCTTTAGCTATAATGATAAAGCAAAAAAGAGAAAAGAGTTGCTATGACTTTGATGTTTCTCCTTCAAAACTTGGGTTACAATGGGTGTGGAGTAATCTCTTGGGAGGTCGAGGCAGGAAGATCCATGGGAATTTGAGGCCAGCCTGAGCTACATAATGAGTTTAAGGCCAGCCTAAACGACACAATGGGACCCTGTCTCAAAAAAACAACCAACCAACCAACCAACAAACAAAAACTTGTGTTACAATGTAGTAATCTTCAGATTCGTGTGAGTGGTTAGATTAGAGGAGGTGGGGAGTGGCCGCCTGCTGACCCTGGCAGCTTTATCAGAGGAGGAGAGACCCAGAGAGTGTGAGCTGTTCTGCTTTGCTGTGTGATACCCTCAACCCTGCGGGGGTGCGGTGGGCCCTGTCCAGTGCAGCAGAGGCTCATGCCCTGCTCTCGGGCCTGCCAGCCCTGGGCCATGGGCTCAGTGAGCCTCCGTCGTGTATAGATGACCTGTCCAGGACATCACTTAAGCCACAGCAAGTGGACAGACAAGGCTAAAAGATGGAAAGTCAGAAGTGAAGTAGGGAGCACTGCTATCAACCACACGGAAATGAAAAGAATGATAAGAAAATGTAAAAAATAATGTGCCAACAGATAGATAACTACCAGAAGTGGACCCATTCCTAGAAAGACACAAGTTACAGAAACTTTTTCATGAAAACAAAGTAGAGCTTTTGTTTGTTTGTGTTTTTTCTTGTGGTGCTGGGAATTGAACTCACAACCTTGCGCCTGCCAGGCAGGGGCTGTGCCGCTGAGCTAAATCCCCAGCCTGAAGTAAAGCTCTTGAATAGACCTGTAATATGTAGGCAGATGGAAACAGTTAAAAAATAAACTTCTAGGTGGCATGGTGCCACATACCTATAATCTCAGCACTCAGGAGGCTGAGGCAGGAGGATCATCACAAGTTCGAGGCCAGCCTGGGCTACTTAGTCCAGGCCAGCCTGAACTGCATAACCCTGTCTCAAGAAAGACAAAAAGACATGAAGATGAATAGACAGAACTGAGATTCCAGAAATGCACGCAAGTTGCCCTCCACCGATTTTTGCCAGAGGTGCTGCTCGTCCTTGGGAGAAAGAAGCGCTTTTCGCAGATGGCTCTGAGCAGCAGCCGCGTGCGGATGAAGAGCGTTGCCTTCCTCCCTCATCGTGCAGACAGGAATGCAAAAGGGTATCGAAGGCCCGAGTGCAAGCACCAAAACTGTAAAACTCTCAGGAGAGAACAGTGTATGCAGATCATGACGACTAGTCCTTGGGTATTGGTTATTGCAGCTACAGCACAAAAGCACAGGGACAAAAGAAAATAAATTGTGTTATTAAAAATCAGTCATATATTTTTAAAATCAAACCCTTTGTGCTTCACAGGATGCCAGCAAGAAAGTGAAAAGAGCTGGGTGTGGTAGCCCATAATCCCAGCACCTGGGGAGGCTGAGGCAGGAGGATCACCAGGAGTTCAAGGCCAGCCTCAGCTACCTAGTGAGTTCAAGGCCAGCCTCCACTATGTAATGAGACACTGTCTCAAAAAAAAAAGTGAAAAAGATGGATAAAAAAGTCAAATCGTCTATAATAAGGGACTTAGATTTAGAACTCAATTCACCAATAAAAACTCAATTCACCAATAAAAGGACAACTCAGTTTTATTTTTTTCAATCAGTCTTATTGGTACATTTTACATACATGAGGATCACATTCATCCTAGGGAATTTGTACCTGTACATGATACACCTTGCCCCTCCCCATTTCCTTCCCTTCCCTGCAACCCCTCCTCCCTTCCTCACTGACAACTTTTTTTTTTAAATTTTTTAAAATTTTTAATTGTTTGTCTTTCTGAGACAGGGTCTAGCTGTGCAGTTCAGGCTGGCCTTGAGCTCACTTTGTAGCCCAGGCTGGTCTCAAACTCACAGCGCTCCTCCTGCCTCAGCCTCCCAAGTGCTGGGACAGCTCAGCCTTTAAAGGTCTGCGTCGGGTGTTTCAGTGTGGAAGCTGCGAGGCCCAGCCTCGTAGTCCAGGCTCGTGCTTGGCCCTTCATTTAGCGTCAGCCATGTGTCCCTGGACTGTTGGGCTCAGGGCTCTTCTCCTGCTGCACTCTGGGGGTTCCGTCCAGACAAGCTCTGTCGGGGGGAGCAGTGTGGAGCTCTGGCCTTACGGCTGGGGACCGTAAGCATTTCACTTCTTAGTGTTGGGGCTCAGAAAATGATACACCAGGGTGGGGCTTTGACCCGCTGAGCTGGAGAAACGGCCTCGTCCTGAGGCCTGCCCACCCCGCCCTGCCCCTGCCCGCCGTCTGCTCACCCCGTCAGTCATCTCTCATCCTCTTTCCTTCCGGACGCACCAGGGCCACGCTTTCTCAGCTCACACTGTGACTGAGGGTGTCTCTTCCCACAGAAATATAGCTGCCTTACAGACCCTTTACCGAGGCATTTCACCAGATAACTAGGGAAGAGCAACTTTCGGACGGAAGACTGACAGTTGTTACTCTGGCCAGAAACACTTTTCCTCGTCCTTCTAAGAGTGGCTGTATGAGTCAGCTTCCCCGTACAAGACAGTATCTGACGTGCAGTTTAAAGGAGGAGGGGGTTAGTGTAGTTCACATTTTTTTTTTGGCTTTTTCTCCGGTACTGGGAACCGAACTCACGACCTTGCGCTTGCCAGGCAGGCACTTTTGCCGCTGAGCTAAATCCCCAGCCCCTGTAGTTCACATTTTAAGGGGGTTCGGTCACAGTCCGTGGGCTCAAGGCAGAAGCAGCATGGTGGGAGGGTGTGATGGGGCACACAGTTCCCGGTGGCCCGGAAGTAGAGAACAGGGCCAGAGAGGAAGGAGTGAGGGAGCGGGTGTGTGACCAAGGTGCAGCTTCCACGACTGGGTGCGGCTTCAGTATCAGTCAGTGATGGTGAACCTTTGGAGACCAAGTGCCGGAACTGCAACCCAAAACTCAATTGTTTATTGCAAATGCCAATACGACAGTTCAACCTGGACACTGAGGTTTTTGTTTAGAAAAATAAACTCATAGGCTAACATCTTTTGCCTTAAAAATAACACGCATGCCGTAGGTTCGCCACCACTGGTATAGAGCCTAGCAGTGAAAGAGTGACCAGTCTGGCTTACTGAAAGCCCAGAATCTCCAGTTCAGAATGTGTGCTGATCCTGTGCAGGAAAAGGAGGGAGAAAGCACTCCATGGGCTTGCAGACGGTAGGCATTATACATTTATTTGTTTTAATTTTTTGGTACCAGGAACCGAACTCAGGACCTTGTGCTTGCCAGGCAGGCGCTTGTGCCACTGAGCTACCTCCCCGGCCAGTATTTTATAAATTTAGACTTTTTTATTTTATAAAGTAATGGACATTTTAAGAGTTTCTGGTACTAGAGAAAACTACTCACCCATACTTGAGTTTGGGCATTAAAAAGTTCTAATTTTTACTAGCGTGTGTTTGCAGTACACACTGGTTACACTCCCTGTGGGAGCTATTACACGTGCACAGCACATCTTTATTCTTTTCCATCCCCCTTTCTTCCCCTCCCTCCATCTTCAGCTTGGGCCTTTTTTGGTTGAATTTATTTATTTATTTGTTATTGTGGGTTTTTTTGTTTTTGTTTTTGTTTTGAGACAAGGTCTTACCGTGTAGTTCAGGGTGGCCATGATCTCATTATGTAGCCCAGGCTGGCTTCAAACTTGCAGTGATCCTCCTGCCTCAGCCTCTGGATTGGGGGATTACAGGGGTGCACCACCATGTCCAGCTGGCTGAATTTATTTTAACTTGAATGTTTTTTTTTTTTAAATCCAGCCAAAGAGCTACCTTTCTTGTATTTCTTTAATAATTTTTGTGCCCTACTCTCCCATTTGACATTTTTTCTTTTTGATTGTTTAGTGTTACAAATATGGAAACAATACTTTTATTTTTGGTCTGTTGTAAAACTTCTTTTGTAGTCTTACATTTTTATATCTACTGAGATAATAATATAGTGGTATCAGTTAAGATGCCTTTAACTTTATAGTGGCTATGCACAAAAATCCAATTTGTATTGAAATAACAACTTCAGGAAACTAATATAGGAATTATTACCATTTCTTTTTTCTGTTTTTTAAAACTAAATGATGGGTTATGGGTGGGTTTAGCTCAGTGGTAGAATGTGTTTTAGCATGTGCAAAGTCCTGGGTTCAGTCTCCAACACCAAACATAACAAAACCAAAACGACAAATAACAAGTGAAAAATAAAATACGGCTATAAAGAAAATGTGAGGCTGGGCTTGGTGGTGCACGTCTGTAATCCCAGCACCTGGGAGGCTGAGGCAGGAGGATCGTTGCAAGTTTGAGACCAGCCTGGGCTACAAAGTGAGCTCAAGGCCAGCCTGAACTGCATAGTGAGACCCTGTCTCAAAAAGACAAAATAAAAGTGAGTTTTCTAGATAAAGTATGTGCAGTTAGTAGAAAGAGGGAAGATAGTTTGGTTTAAACTATACTGATTTTTTTTATTTAATTGAAGGTCCATTTTAGCCTCTTATCTCCTGAAGGAAAAGCTCAACATCCTGGGCAAGTTGGGGTGTCTGCTAAGCTGTGCGGGCTCGGTTGTGCTGATCATCCACTCCCCGAAGTCTGAGAGTGTGACGACGCAGGCCGAGCTGGAGGAGAAGCTGACCAATCCAGGTAACTCCGTCCTAGCACCCTGCCAAAGAGCGGCCCGGAGTCCAGGCGTCATGAGCCACTGTCCAGTGTGAGGTTTCCTGACCCTGCGAGCCAGCCCTGTGTCCACTGTCCTCCGCCCCCCCGGAGCTGCATCCGGGTTTTGGGTGGCTGTGTGTGCAAGCCACCCCTGGCTGTGCGGAGACATCCTCCGTCCGGCTGACCCTCTGTGTGCCAGTGTGCAGTCTGACCACCACAGGGGGTGCCCTGACCACCCGGGGACCCCACTCAGCTCAGCTCTCACACCCGCAGCTTCCTTCGTGGCTTCGGGGGCAGTGGCTCCTTCCCGAGCCCAGCAGCTCCTCGCCCCTCAGGGCTGCTTCCTCCTCCACTGAGCCTGCCCGGGCCTGGGGCCCTGCTCTGCCCGGCTCCTTCTGGGCTCCTCTGCATCAGTGTTTCTGCCGTGTCCCTCCGTCCTCTGGGGTTCTCCACGCTACCGTATTCACCCCTGGGACTGCTCGGCCCCGCCCCCCTGCAGTTCTTCCTGCAGCCCTGCTGGTGAGAGCCTGTGGGCACTGCTCCGTCTTCCCTCAGCCTCACATGGTGATGGGAAGCTTAGAGTGGAGACAAGGTTCTGTGTGTGTGTGTGTGTGTATTTGACATATGATAACTCTGTATTTTTGACAAGTGCAATAAGAAACAATGCATTATCATGCCCACTTTAAAGTACAGACTTCCTTTGAGTTCTCTGTCCAGTTGGTTACCGGTGCTAGGTGCTGACAGTTTTGCCTGGATGCCCACACACAGCTGCCTCCATACGGAGGTCTCCAGGCCGCAGACTCGGGGAGTCCCCTTTCGTAGTCCCTACTTGCCTGTGATAAGTGCAGCAGTGAACCATCTGCCACTGTAAACAGAACCCATAGTGAAGTTAGCCAGGATTGTCCATGTCCCTGCAATGTCCTAACACTGAGCACTGTGATACTCATTCACTCTCATAAACGCCAAAGTGTTCGGATAAGTGTAGCTACGTGAGTACAGAGAAGGGAAAAAATCAGAGACTCAGATCTGAGTGGGCTCAAGGATTAATTTTAAGTAATTTCCGTATGACATATCCAAAGGGTACATTTATTTCTTTTCTTTTTTGGCAGTGGTAGGAATTGAACCCAGGGCCTCGCGCATGCTAGGCAAGTGGCCTGCCGCTGAGCTGTATTCCCCGTCCTTATCATGCTCTTCTAATGTATGAAACACAGGTCTAGATACAGTATATAAACATGTAAGTATTTCAGCGATACTAAGATTTCATGGGGTGAACAACTAGGGAGAAAAGTGTACAGTGGTTCCTAAGGGAGGATGGTAATGAAAAAAATGCTTAAAAAAGTGTAAAGCATCGCAAAGCTGAGGGGCATCTGGCCTCCTGCTCTAACATGTAAGAAACTGAGGTTTTTCTAGGCGTGGATTCTTTTTCTGGGCTGCCCAGTTCTCACAGACGTGGAGTTGGTGTCCAGATGCCACAGTGGCTGTGCCCTCTCCCTACCTGACTGGCCACTGTCCCTTCTTCTGCCATGCACTGCTGCCTTGGGTGCCAGCCTTTCTGTGCCCCCTGCCCTCTACACCATCCTGACGCTTGGGACCCCTCTAAAATGCAGTCCCTTCCCACAAGAGACGCCAGCTGCCCCACGCTCGTGTCCTGCTCCTTCTCCCAGTGCTGTGTTTGCTCAGGGGCGTGGGGCTGCTTCTGTCTGCCCACTTCGCCCTGACTTCGTGTCCTGCTCCTTCTCCCAGTGCTGTGTTTGCTCAGGGGCGTGGGGCTGCTTCTGTCTGCCCACTT